ATGCATATATGGACAAGTATGGGTTAGACAATAAAAACATACCTATGATTGATCCAAGATAGTAGAAACATGCCTATGAATGTTGCAAGTCCATTGGATCAGTCATCCCTATTTAGTTGTGAGAGCAATTCTTTATCCATTAAATTGAGGGTTGAGAAAAGATGTTGATTTCATCTTTTCATTCAGGGTGCTGTTGCTTCTACAATTCATATTAAGTGTAGAAGATGGATTCACCTATGCTAGCTTTGAGATAGTAGGGTGTGATTTGAAAGTCTTGTATTTACCAATAGAGTTTTCAATACATAGAGTTTTGCTTGCTAGATATTCCAATGGCTACACTCACAAAGATGAGTGTCATGAAAATAATGTGAGTAGATAAATGTCTAAAGAGAAACTAGGAAGAAAGTTCATGAAGCCAAGAAGATGATATAGTCACAATTACCATCATTATGTTAAAAAATACGGCCAAAGCTATTTCACTCAAAGTGGATTTGCATATCGGTGAAAGCCAAAGAGGAAGATGTCTCCATGAAAGTCAAAAAAAGAAAGATGTCTTCATGCAAGTTTTATTCACATAGTTTAAAATCGATGTAGTTTTAATTCTCTTCGGCTTCATGCTTTGTGTTGTCAAGTTGAACACATAAATTAAGAGGTATTCAACTTGAGGAGGCATGTTAGAGAGAGGATAAGTGAGTCATTAGTTAAGTGAGATATGCCTATATAAAGTGTTTAGTGTGATGTGTTTAGAATCTAGGATATGTTATCTTCACCAATCAGGAGGATAACTTGGGTCTCTCTCCTTAATCCTAATAGTTTTGGGTTATTAGTTAATTTCTCAAGTAAGGGATTTGGTTAACTCTAAGAGCGTTCTTGTACTTTGTTCATCATTGATGGCATTTCATAGTCTTTATCCTCATTTCTTTACATGTATAATCTATCCTATTAGTGCTCTGCAACATCTTCAATTCCTCCTTTAATCTTTTAGCAATTCTTACTTCAAATTTGATCTCATAAAATGCATAGTTCCAATACACCCTATAAGCATTGGTATAGGTGGTAAGTGATGAATCTCCTGTAAACACAAAAATAATACATAATGAATCATGTATCCGTGGGACATAATCCAAATTGATAAATTCCTAATAAACAAGTACATCTTAGAACTTTTCAATTTAATATTTGTCTATTAGTTATTCAACATCTTAAAGTACAGATTCTACCTTGCAGTACTCTCTTCACAAAAGCAAATAGGACAATAAATTCTAGTACATAAGTGTGTGCTCTCCTGTGCTTGGTTATTTGCAAGCCATCCATTCTTATTAATATACCAATATGGCCTATAGGCAAGAAAAGAAAAAAAATAGAAATTATTCATTCAAATAATTTTAGACTCAAATAACCTATATGCAAATGAAAACAATGAAATATTTTAAAATCGTGGAACCAACCTATAACTTTATATCTAGGTGACCAATTAACCTCTGTGGCTCAATAGAATAGAATGTAAAACAATGACCAGGCAGCCACTATGCATGTTGTTCCACATGCTTGTTAGTAGAGTGCAATGTGATAAGTACCATTTATTCCCTCACTATTAAAACACACAAATAAATTCCGCATCAAATGCACCTTTCCCTTCTTAAACAAATTACATAATCGATCAATGATATCATCACCACCCAGACATATCAACATTCTACAAACTATCATGTCTAGTGAAAAATGAATCAACTTTTTTGGGTAACTACAATTACTATTCAAAAAAGTGAGTCCTCATAAAAACCTTCTCCATTCTCACGATCACTCTCTAAACTCCATAAGAGGAGCCATAACTTCAAGCCTTTCATATTGTTCAACCATTGTTACAAACAAAGAGAGGCAACAGAGAAATATAGACAAAATGGAACCACCTTTTTGAACCTTGTAGAAGGAAAGTAGAGGATCTAAATACGCATGGAGAAATTTAGTGACTATGAGTATATAAATAAACACACTTCATTCACTTCCTTCTACCTATCAAGACAAACATTCACCAAACAACAATAAATGTGCCTTTACGGTTAATGATAGCATAAAGGACACATAGGGAAGAATAGAAAGTACTTACCTCAACTGAAGATTTTCCCTTCTGAAATTTGAATGATAAAAATAACTAAATCAACCTATATTTGCACAACCACTTATAGAATAACTAACTTATAAAGCACACATGGGGTTCAAATACTATAAACTGATACTACACGTCATAATAAAAAGCATGCAGCTAGGGGAAATGAGTCATTACTGTTCTACTAGTCGTTATTATTCATAGAATAGTAATCTGAGTGAGGAGTTGATGAGGATTGTAAAATAGCTCAAACTTGCCATTGATTTTATTTAATATTCTTATAGATAAGTTGGGTCACTTCCTTAGACCCAATATAGAAATATAAGCTTTATTGTTTTATTTATGTTTATCTTTTAAGTTTAGTTACTATATGCTACAAAAAGGGAGAAATTCTTACGTACACCCGCTGTACCATGTCATTTATGCACTAGCCACTAAGATTTTGACAGCTCAAACAATTTTTATCCTATATGTCAGTGCACCTGTCACACCTCTCCCTTCTCTATTAGTTTAATTATCTTTTTTTTTAAAGAAATATGTCTTTTTTTCATTTTCTCTTGCCCGCTCTCGAATCTACAAAATATTTTTCAAAAACTTTCACTCTCCCTCTCTCGGTTACCGCCACTCCTCCCATGTCCCATCTCTCTTTCCCTACCATGCCACTCTCTCTCTCTTCCCCTCCCCTCACTATCTCCCGTCGTTGATGATGCCAACGAGCTTGAAAATTTTTAGTAAGCTCTACTACATGTTCCTCACCTCGATACTTAGCACATCTTTTTGTAAATGGATATCACGAGGTCCAACTCCGTTGAAGTGAAAAAGAGTGGCCTATGCCGCCGATGCCACCTAGAAAATGGGGCAACCTACGAAAGGATCATTGTGGTGCTGCCTTACCGTTTCCAATAAGTGACGATGCTGATCCCTGAGTAAACAACTAGAGCACTTGTAGTGTTGTTGGTGTATTATGAGAGGACTCATAATCGATGACTAGCATGTCGATGCCGGAGGAGGTACAGAACCAAAACATTTCTCATAGGCTGGTAGCTTCTCTTTCTTTTTCATATTCTCCAAATAAATCGGATACCATATGAGAGAGAGATGGAGGAGTAAGGGGAAGAGAGAGAGAATGGCATGGTAGGGGAAGAGAGATGGGAGGAGGGGCATTAAATGAGAGAGGGAAAGTGAAAAATTTTTGCATATCGGAGAGAGAGTGGGAGAAAATAAAAAAACATATATTTCTTAGAAGATAATTAAAATAATGGAGAAGGAAGAGGAGTGACAGGTGGGTTGACATGTAGGATAAAAATTGCTTGAGCTGTTAAAATTTTAGTGGCCAGTGCATAAATGACATAGTACACTTGGTGTACGTAAGAATTTCTCACAAAAAGGAGATGGGATTGGTTTGGGCCTATAAAAAAAAGGTTTGGCTACTATATGTTGTATTATACTACCTCTCTAATATAAAACTTAGAACTAATTCAGAAAAATTAAGAAAGTTATTAAATTACTCGATTATAACACATGCTATATGATTTCTTTAAAATACTTATATGTATCATTAGATTATATATCAATTTATAAGAGTGACAAATTATTTTGGAAAAAAATTGTAAATATAAATACTTTAAGATAGTTTATTAACTTTTTTTAATCTCTCTAAATAAATCAACAGGGTCTTATATTAAAGACGATAGATAGTAAGGGATTAAGGTTTAGATTAGATTAGATTTTCTTTTTAGGCTACAATGTCCTCAGTTCTGTCTTTTAGATTCTTTTCTAGATACAATTATTTTTTTTAAAAGGATTAATTGTATACGTTTCTTTTATTTATTTTTAATAAAAAGGTTTCCTTTTTTTTTTTTAAATTTTTGTACAGAAAGTTGTTTTTATTTTTATGAGAAGATTAATATGCAAGTTTCTATAATTTTATTTTATTTTAATTAATTTTGAGGTTTTTATTAGGTTCTTATAGTTTCTTCAATTATAAGTATTGCTTCATAATTTATTAATTTCTAAGAAAAAGATGTTAATTCTTATAGTTTCTTCAATTGCTTCAAAATTTATTAATCCAAGAAATAGATGTTAACATTGTTATATATATTTAAATAAAATCAAAATAATATAAATTATTAGGAAAATCGTAAAAAAAGAACACTAAAATTTAAAAATTGTACACAAGGACCCTTTTATAAAATTATTGTCAAAATCTATATTATTGTTGTCAAAATACATACTAATCTTGTAACGTGTCCTTATTTGTAATTTTTCTATTTTGACGATTTTTTTCTGCGATCTTTCTTGAATTATTTGTAAGGAGATAATTATAAGTATAATAATTTTTTATTTTTATGATGATAATAAAAAATTTTACTTTATAATTTTATTTTTAATTTTTTAATTTTTATTTCGTATTTTGTAATAGCTTATAAAACATTTAACATACAAAACGTTTTATATTTTATTTTATTGTATTAAAATACGTGTAATTGAAAAAATTATGAGAATCTAAAATATCAAGAATAATAAATTAAATTAAATTTCTCTATGTTCCTACATATCATCTAAACATGTAAAAAGATCACAATTAAAAAAAAAATCTAAACATGCGGGTAATTTAATTATAATTCTATGCGGTGATATGAACGGGGGTAATTATATTCGTAGGTAATTTAATTAATTTTCCCAGTTCAATTTCAAATACTAATCTTGGCCCTGAAAATCCATCACCATCCTCATTGATATATCCCAGGCACCATGCCTCAATGGGTCCCAGGTTTTCGTTATTCCGTGACATTGTTTAAAATGTTTTCATTGTTTTGGTCCGATAAGTATACGTGTTTACCAATTAAATTACCGCCAGCCTTTTCTTCTCCCACTCTCAATACAACCGCCATCTCTCTGTTGCGTCTTCATTTGATTCTTTACCTGACATTCAACACACAACTGCCATTCTTCTGAGAACCCTTTACAATTGTTTATTTGGTGTTCCTTTCTTGGTCGCTTCATTGGGTGTATATAAGGAATTCCATCAATTTTCCCAAGCTTTTCTTCCTTGGCACTTTGGGTTTTCCTTGTATGCGAAACCCTTGTTTGTGAGCTTGGGATAGATAACTAGGAAAGTTCTGCAGCTTCTGGCAATTGACGGAATTTGTTTTTAATTGACTCTATGATCGGGAAAATTACCTGCATTTGCATGTCCATTTTGAGCATAGCAATTTGAACTTCTGGTTCTCCTGTCAATCGCCTCAGGACTGGCCGTGATGGTGGAATCCGAGGATCCCAATCGTGGGGCTGATGAAACTTCCCCTGACTTGCTGAAAAACACGCCTTCTAATATTGCGAGATTGGAGGATGTGATCGAGCATTCTAAAGCAAGGCAGAAGTATCTTGCGCAGACCAGGAGCCCATCTGATGGGGGCGATGTTAGGTGGTACTTTTGTAAGGTCCCATTGGCGGATAATGGTAAGTTTGTGTTTATAGTGATGCTGCATGAGTGGCAGTTTTATAGTGCTGTTGCATGACTGATAATTCAATCCGGTTCCAAAAGTGGCGTGTGATCATACCCTTCCATCTAAAGACAACAGAGTACTGAACTCTTCTGAGGTTTTAATTTGTTCATCGGTTATATCATGAGCATTAGAAGATGTGGGTGCCATTGTCTTGTTTGTTGTTGTAGTGGATGTCAATGATGATTAGAAGATGTGGCTACATCATCCTAAAGTCAAATTATCACCTTCAAAGATGATAATTTTCTTCATTAGTTAGTGCTTCATCCTCATTATCTTTGGACCACTTACTACTATCATCAACCTCTTTCAATGAGATTACGTCAATGCTGTCATGAGGAGTAAATCTTCTCCTTGTCGCCTTATTATGTTTAGCAGTTATCAAACCGTTCACTCTTGAGGCCAAGGTTGAGTGAGTGAGTCTTCAGCACTTCACTTTGCGCCATACTTGAATCAGGACTGTTGTTCGCTAATTACTCTGTAGCATTTGCTACAACTACGTACAAATACCTGATGTAGTTCAGCTGCAGTGAATCTCTGATCTACACTAAAGTTTCTGGCAAAGTGCCAGTTGCTATAGCAGCATGTTACAAGCTATGGCATGCTATTAATAATTATGGAACCAAAAAATGCTGAAAATCAAATTGTACTTTTACGTGCTCTATATTTATGAACTGCTCATTACCATGTTAAGCTTAGAAAGGCTCTTAGAAGCATCTTTTAGGTATCATGATAAGTAAATGCCTGCTTGGTTTCAGCATCTGGTTATTAAAACCAGGCACCGCTCTTTATATCCATTATGTTATTTGGCAGAGGAAGTGTCATGGGCGAACAATTTTTTCTCCTTTTATTATGTGGTTCCAATAATGTGAAACTTGGGTATGTATTGGCTTATCGCTTTGAACATTTATAAACGAACTTATTCTTGTGTAGTCTGCAAAATTTGATAGTCTAGGACTTGTATATGAACACCTACACCTTGTATGCTAGGCTGTCTTAATACTTTGTGCATGCTGGTTTTATTATGTATCTAGAGGCATGGATGAGACTCCTACTTAAAGTCCTTTGTCTGTCATACCTCTTTAACTGTGGAAACGGAGCAATCTCAATTATTCTTGACTAGATCTTGGATCCCCTACGCCAAATACAGAATATGTATTTAATTTTACTCTGGTTTCTTGTCATTTGCACACAGTGTTGTCTGCCTCAGTCCCTTCCACGGAAATAGTGGGAAAGAGTGATTATTTTCGTTTTGGCATGAGAGATTCTTTGGCAATTGAAGCATCTTTTTTGCAGGTAAACTAACATATATTCAGATAAATTTATGCATTTCTCTTTGATATTCCCCTTTGCTAGTGCTTTGTTGTGCTCTTTAGAATTTAGATTGTGACATTCTTTCTTGTATATGAATTTGCAGAGAGAGGAAGAATTGCTTTCAAGTTGGTGGAGAGAATATGCAGAATGCAGTATTGGTCCAAGAGAAAGACAAAGTACTGATAGCAAAATAGATAAACATGGTCATGGATCTTCTAAGGGGAGTACTTGGCCATCAGAATTATATGAGATTGAGGAAGAGAGAGTTGGTGTTCCTGTAAAAGGGGGACTATATGAGGTAGCGTTTGTCTTATTTTTGTTGTTAGTTTTCTGCAGCAGTTTCAATAACATAGCATGTAGCATTTTCTTTGGAGATTGTGCCATCTGATAGCAGCCAACAGAAGGACTAAATTTCTGACGAGTTTACTTCCCATATCAAGAAATTAATGAGAAGCAATTTATTGATTATGATCTGAGTAAGATATGGCCCAAGTATTTTAAAAGCTGGAACCTCTTTCTTCCTGCAAGAAATGAGGTTGTCGAACATGTGTGTGTTGGTACATTGAATACTTTAAAAATCTTGAGAAGCTAGGCTTACACTGTTTTATATTTCTTTTAAGGAAATGAAAGACTATACAAAGAATAAAATGGAGAATGTGAAATTAGATGCTTTCTTTGTTTGTGAAATAGAGGCACCAGTTCTAGATTGAGCTCCTTCAATACCTGAGACAATATTCCTACTTCCTTGCGTATATCAGAAGAAATAGAACCACCAATTTAAAATTTAGTTCATTCTTAATTTCCCATGAGAACAACAAAAATCTTATGTGTGGATATTTTATGTTTTTCTAGCTTCCCTTGCACATTTATTGATGTAATATCCAGATCTAAACTCATTCATGTGTCTAACTTACATTTTAAGCATGTAAGGGAATGGAGATAATTATCACTTTTCCCATCAGTATATTTAGAATGTTGCTAAGTGCATATTTGAATTTGGTTTGATGCATAATTTTAAGATAATATGGTTTCTTTCTCTCTGCTCCTCTTTATATTCTCTTCAAGTGTGTGATGGTCAATTGATGCAGGTAGATTTAATAAAACGACATTGTTTCCCTGTGTATTGGAATGGAGAAAATCGACGTGTTCTAAGAGGTCATTGGTTTGCACGTAAAGGGGGTTTGGATTGGCTCCCACTCCGTGAAGATGTTGCTGAACAGTTAGAGGTTGCATATCGTAATCAGGTCTGTAAAAATAGCACAATTTCAGGATGTGCTTTTTCAAAGTTAGTGCTTTAACGCCAAATAGGTCCATAAGCAAGCATGTTATCTCTGAAAATAAGGGCCCGAATAATCTGTCTTATAGTATCCTAACATTATGATTTAAAGAACAACAAATATTTCATCTTAGAATAAAAAATATTGGGCTAAAATCATGTGGCTCACAACACTCTTATTATTTATATTTAATTCATGGGATCCACTGATTGGTATTTTTCCTGGGATCTCCTATATGCGTAGCATATTCCCTTCTAAAGAACTAGTAAATCAGCAAATTATTTCTTTTATTTTCTTCTACTATTCTTATTTTCTTCTTAAGCTTAAAACAATGACATATCTACTTACTAGTTCAGGCTTCATGTGATGCGATATTGGTAGCCCTTGGTTTCCTTTGTATAATAATAATGTAAATGAAGTGCTTAGAAATTCTATGGGGTAGTTAGGAAATAGTCATTAGTTAGTTAATAGCCGTTGGACTCTGCTAGTCATTAGTTTGTTAATAGCTGTTGGACTCTGCTTCCTCTATTTGTAATTGCGTTGTGATCAAGAGACTAATGTGTTGAACTTCTCAGTTTCTCCCTCTAAATTCCTCTGTTCTTCTCTCTTACACTCTAGCACCTCTTCTCTGTATTTCCCTTCCTCTCCCTGCCCTCTCCTTTCTCCATCTCTTACTTGTGTGAATTACAAACCTCCATCAGCCCCCCCCAAACCAAAAAAAAAAGACAAATCCCTAGTGTAGTTGTGGAGGCTACTTAGATTACATTTCACATTCTTCTTCATTTGTAGAGAAGTAGATCGGGGGTTGGGAGCCAAAACATGTTTATTCTTGTTTGTAATCTCTGTTTCGAGGGCAACAAAGATTTATGTTTGATGGGGTCTTACAGGTTTGGCATCGTAGGACGTTTCAGCCATCAGGACTTTTTGCAGCTCGTGTCGATTTGCAAGGATCAACCCCTGTATGCAATTGATTTTGAAGAAATGATTATTATTTTATATTCATTATATTGTGTTCATTGTCAACATCTTGGCTGTCACTTTATGTCCTGTTTTGGTCATGTAGGGCCTGCATGCTCTTTTCACTGGAGAGGATGATACGTGGGAGGCCTGGCTAAATGTGGATTCTTCTGGATTTTCTAATATTGCTAGTTTCGCTGGTAATGGGATCAAGCTAAGACGTGGTTATTCCCCATCGAACTCACCAAAACCAACCCAGGTTCTCTTTCTGTCTTTCTTGAGGTTTTATTGTTTAGATAGTCATGGCATGCTACGTTACTTCTCTTTCATCTATCAGTGACTGTATATCCTTGTGAAACGCTGTTATAATTGGGTGAGGGAAAGATATTGAGGTCTGGGGTTTTGTCAACAATGCCTTGATACCTGGTAATTGAGTATAAGAATCAAAATTTGATGAACGAGGAGGCTTACATAAAGGTGGTACACTCTATGTCGATCCTTTGAATATTTTAAAGGTAAACTCAAGATAATGATTGAGGATAATTTAGGCTTTTAGTAGTAATAGACTCTAAAACATTAGATTATAATATATTAGACTCTAGTTGAAGATAAGGTCTTAGTCTATTAGAAATTCCACTTGGTAGGTGTCTTTACAAAATGCAATCTTAGGGCGTTCTAATCCCCATAAGGGTCTGAGCTAAGAAGAGTTTGTATAGTTGTAATTATCTGCTGATTTTCTCTTATAGCATTTACTTTTTCTTTGAATCTAGATTTGGACTTTTGGTTTTACCTGTGTTCATTTATTTTCTATCGTATCCTCCAAACACAAGATGGCTTGATTGGGATAAATTATGGGGATGGTTAAATCTAGTAATACCCTTAAAAAAAAAAGGGAAAATATTGTTTGTCTGACTGAATTGGATTAATAATAATGCTTTGTTGTTGATTTGTGTGCCTATAACATTCATTTCTCTTCCTATCTCTGCTATTTTATTGATAGTTTGGATTACTCTTCTATACTATCAGGTAGTATGACTTTTGTGGAATAAGCTGTTTAGAGTCTTCTTTTAGTCAGTTGCAAACCTTAAAGGGACCGGATGGGAAAAGAGGCCATGACACTGTCAATGGATTTTGGGGAATGATTTTGTTTATGGCCTCACTTTGGTGCCCTGCGCATGTTAGGGTATCTATTTTTAAGATTTGTAGAGAGATTGGGCTGCTTTTCTCCGTGTTTGATCACTAAATTTTTTTTTTCCTGTCTTAATTGTCTTTATTTCTTCAGTTCCTTTAGGGGGATGTCTTATAATCTCTGTGAAATGAGAGAGTTTATTGATGCATTTGATACTGAATACTAAGCTATTTGTGGAGACAGTGATAGTAGACAGAGACGAAACAGAGAGTATTTTCATTCACAAAACGAAATGGTGGACGGTACATCAATATATTTCCCCCAATCATCACACGTCAGCAACGTATCTCTTTCTCTCTCTATAACAAACCTATAACTAACCCCATAGCAAAGGTTTACCTGAATGTTGAAATAACCGTCCCCGTATTATTATTTATCATTTACTATTTATCATATATCAAATACTCCCCCCCCTATGGAAGATCCTTGTCCACAAGGATGGTGGGAGCTTGTGGTGCAGCCGTGGAAAAATGCGGGAACTGGTGTTGAATAGCAGTAAGATCCTCCCAGGTGGCATCTTCTGGTTGAGTCAGCTTCCAACGAATTAAGACCTGTGTAACCGGAAGATTGTGGCGCTTAATGATCTTCCTACCAAGAATCTCCTCCGGTTCTAGCCAAAAATGACCCTGGTCGTCAATAGGGGGCAAAGTGGGAGATAAGTGACCCACAGAACCAACATGCTTCTTGAGGAGAGAAACGTGGAAAACGGGATGAACTCTTGTTTCTGCTGGCAGCTCCAGTTCATAAGCAACAGCCCCTACGCGTTTGAGGATCTTGAAGGGCCCAAAATAGCGGGCCGCAAGCTTATGTAGAGAAGAGTTATTGAGCAGGTTCCTTTGAAAGGGGTGAAGCTTCAAATAGACCATATCTCCCACTGCAAATTGGCGTTCGGTCCTATGCTTATTAGCATAGCTGATCATGCGATGTTGGGCCTTTAATAGGTGCTGTTTCAGAACCTGCAGAACCAATTCCCGGGACATACAAGCCCTGTCAACCAAGTCGTTTGGTGAATCTCCTGATATGTATGGTAGATGAATAGGGGGAGCTACCCCATAGACAGCTTCAAACGGAGTCATTCCTGTTGCCGAGTGATAAGTCGTGTTGTACCTGCGACTCTATCTCAGTTTTCTGCAGAGGCCCGTAACGATAAGGTCTGCAATTGATTGGTTTATTGTCAACTAGAGGGATGGAGCGATCAAACAGCCGAGATGGGGGCAATTCGTGCGGCTCGTCAAATACATGGCTATACCGTTCCAGCAATTGCTGCAGCTCCACGTGTTGTGTCTTAGAGAGTTCAGTATTCGAATCCAAGTCTAGTAACAGGTGCGATGGGACATGAATCAGGTAAACATGTTGAGCGACCAAGAAAGCTTTAGGGGACCCGAGTTCTTCAGATGCAAGATTGCCATTATCATGGAGAGCCTGAATCGTTGCCTCCTGCATTCTGGCAGAGCAAGTAGCGTTCGCCAAGGACGTCGGCGCAACATTTAGAACGAGCTTCTGGATGTCCGGTCGCAGACCTCCGATAAAAAGGTCAATGGCCACCTCCTCCGGTATGTCTACTTCACACAACAATTCGTCAAACTTCTTCTCATAATCCATCACAAGGCCTGTACCCTGTTGCAGTAGTTTGAGGGCGATTAACGGTTTTTCCTCCTTGACATCGGAGAACTTAGCTTCCATGTGCTTGAAATATTCGTCCCAGCTAACTTCCGAAAAAGCTCTATGTCGCATGAAGGTCTGGTGCCAGCGAAGGGCATGCCCTTCTAGATGAATAGAAAGGAGGCGAATACGCTGATCAGTGGGGGTTCCGTCGACTTCGAAAAACTGACGGCAGTGGTAGGCCCATCCCTTGAAGTCATCACCATCGAATCGAGGAAACTCAACTCGGCTATGTTTCGTGGGAATGACATATAAGGATGATGGTTGCTGGAACAACTCGTTCAAGGAACCAAATGTGGGCATGCGCGGCGGTGTAGCAGAGTGAGAGGCCCCATCCCCCACCGACGGTCGTTTCCCATGCTCAGAGAGGGAAGAGAGTTTGGAATTAATTTCCTTAAAGTAATGCTCAAATCTGACGGAAGAGTTTTTAAGGTCATTACGAAGATCAGAAAGGTCCTGAGCGTGTTTGTCCAAGCGGTCGTTAATGGAGTCGATGGTCCCTTGCTGCAAGTCAAGGCGCTGTTCCATGTCCCCGAGACGTTCGGATGATCGCGTCTCCGGCATCTTGGACCGGAGAGAGGGCTCTGATACCCTTTTGATAGTAGACAGAGACGAAACAGAGAGTATTTTCATTCACAAAACGAAATGGTGGACGGTACATCAATATATTTCCCCCAATCATCACACGTCAGCAACGTATCTCTTTCTCTCTCTATAACAAACCTATAACTAACCCCATAGCAAAGGTTTACCTGAATGCTGAAATAACCGTCCCCGTATTATTATTTATCATTTGGAGCATATAAATAATATGCACCAAGTTTATTACATATGTAGTTGATCCAAGAATCTCACTTTCTTTGACTTAACAAACTTAGTACCAAGAAAACCAGATCAATATTCTCCCTTATAAAATGGCAATCGACTTCTATATGTTTAGTTCTGTCATGAAATACATATTGGAAATTATATGCATTGTTGCTTGATTATTTTCCAATGTTGAACTCTTCCTCCTCACTTGTATCTCCCAAATATTTTAATGAAGTACTTCTATTTTGTTGGAAAAAAATTGTCCCACTCTTCTTTCTGAATGAAATTGCATTTTCTATTCATGAAAAAAGAAAAAATTGAACATTTGTATGTTCTTCCCAGCTGGTAGAAGGGAAATTAAGACTTCTCCCTTTGTTACTAAATGTCATCATTTCAATTTCCCAGGATGAGTTGCGTCAGCAGAAGGAGGAGGAGATGGATGATTACTGTTCACAGGTATGTACTATAAAACCATTTATACATCATTATATAGGTCACAAGTTTTTATCTGCTGTTGTAAAATGAACACAGGTTTAGGAAATTGGCCTAATATTTTTGTGATAACCCCTTTGGTACTAGATGCAGGATTCAAATAACTAATTTATAAAGATTGAGAAAATTAGTTAAGTTAGTTATTTGAAAATTAGTTAAGTTAGTTATTTGAAAATTAGTTAAGTTAGTTATTTTTAAGAAAATATGTGTTGGTTTCCCTAAAGTACGCCTTGAATGATTTACATTGTTTACTACTTCGTTGATGGGAAACTTCTTTAACGTGTGCAATCAATAGGGAGAGTTTAGTAAAAAGTTATAAATTTGGGAGACAATATGGATTGAGATCTTATATTTAGAATTAGTGCAAATCCCTCTACTAACTCTTAAATTTAGGTCTGGAGGAGTATATGCAATAATTGACCTCAAGGAGACAATATGTAATAATGCACAATATTGAATTTAAGTAGTTTTGATGTTTTCTGGTAGAAATAAAAATAAACTTTTGCAATCTGTTTTTCTGAGTAAATATTTGGGAAAACATAATCTATAGTGAAAAAGAATAGCTATTCCAGTGGTGGTATTTCCATATATACTTCTTCCGTGATATTCTCTCTTTCTTCAATCTCTGCATAATTCTTATATCAATAAAAAGTAACTTATCATAAGAAAATGGGACATAGGTCTTAGCCCAACTATTTGCTGCTAACAGCGGCCTGTGCCATTGATGCTAACGACCGGCTAGTAGCATGGCTGCCCAGTATTCCTCTGAAAAGTAGCGTGTGAGAGAAAGAGAGCATATGAGCAGCAGCTGCCAGACATTGCCTCCAAAGAGGCAGTGGTAATAATTTTTCTTGGAGAGTCATGAGCAAGTACAAGCATGTTTTCCCTTAATCTGAGTTAGACAATGTTAAATGAGATGAGAGTATACAACTCAATTTGTAGTCTCTATGTGAATAGATCTACATATGTAGTTATCAGTGTTCTACAGTCTTTTCTTTCTCCTTTCCCTTTCCAATGTGAAAATGCGACATACATTTGAATCTTCTGAAGCCTTTTTGTCAACTGGACTATTCCCCCCCCCCCCCGGGGACACAAGGAACTGTTCTGCTTTTAGTAGTTTCAGAAAATAGTTTGATCATGTGTCACTGGTATTGTTTTCTTCCAATTTTTCCTGAACCTGCTTGAACGAGTTATATGACAATAACTAATTGTAGGTCCCTGTTCAACACTTGGTATTTATGGTTCATGGGATTGGGCAAAGGTTGGAAAAGTCTAATTTGGTGGATGATGTGGCCAATTTTCGGCATATTACAGAAACTCTGGCAGAGCAGCACCTTACTTCACACCAACGTGGCACTCAAAGGGTCCTCTTTATCCCATGTCAGGTATCTAATATTTGGTATTTCTTCCCTTCCTCTTGGTTTGTATGTTTTTAAGCTTTTAATGAATTTTTTTTTCTTATTTTCTGCAATGCAAAGGTTACTTCCTACCTGTAAGGACACTTGCCGGCTTGCCGCAGTTTCCCCATTCTATAAAATTGAACATTTTCTTACCTTATTATCCTCTCACACTTTGGCACATTCTCTACTGTTTAGCTTTTAGATACATTTTAAGGGACTAAGTGAGCTAGCCTACAGATAGCAACTTTGCAAGAGGGCATTCTACCTTCTGAAAGACTTGCTGTGTTCTTTTTATATTTTAAATTTAAATATCTATTAATGTGAATAATAAACAGAACGAAGAAAATTCCTTAATATTTTTTCATAACATTGTTTCAAGAAAATTCCTTATATTTTTTCATAACACTGTTCCGATGTGCATGCAAGGCAGAGGCTCGTAGGAGTTAATATTAACAATGACAAATTTATTCCTATTAATTAGAAATTATTCTAACATATTAAGACAAATATATGCAGAATATCGTGACAGTTTATTTGAGGGAAATGACTAAAGAAGATGATAGTGTAATTAAAATAAATGTTTATTCATAAATATAAGGACACTTATAGTTTGGCACCAACCGGACCCTGTGGGGCAAGAAATATGATTCCTTTCTCATCCTCTCTCTGAGGAATGCGGGAAGGAGATCAAAGAGTGGTACAATCGCTTAAATGAAGGCAACGTGCCAGGAAAGAAAGTGCTTACCACAAAATACCAACAAGACGATGAGAATTCCCCTTAGGAAGAGTTTATCCCTTATCACAAGGATAACTCCAAATATTGGGCCCTGGATGGAACAGTTCTCACAGGGTAATTTGGGAATTTTTGCTTGAGTTCTAACTACTATGGATTTGTTATCTGGGAATCAATTGACTTGAAGCTTTTATTGCCAACAGGAGACTAGTATGAGAATGTAGATTTCCTGATATCTTGGATGGTACATTGAAGTTTTAAAGAAACAATAATACTCATGGTCGCATGAAAAACATACTATAGTTCTATGATTATTCATCCTTTTATTGTTGAACCCTTTTTTCTTTCTGAACACACATTGGTATATGCAATTGGTTGCTTATGATGCAGAATATTGAATATCTGTTTCTTTTCTTATTGTTTCCTTATGTTTATTACATTTATTTAGATTAATTAATATCTAATTGCATATCAACAGTGGAGAAAAGGATTGAAGCTTAGTGGTGAAAGTGCCGTTGAGAAAATAACCTTGGATGGAGTACGGGGACTGCGAGTCATGCTAAGCGCTACAGTTCATGATGTGTTATATTATATGAGCCCAATCTACTGTCAAGACATAATTGACTCGGTAATGCATGCATCATATGTTATACATTGTTTCCTACATTTTCTTTTTAAACTATATATATTGAACTTTGTTATTTCAAGCATCTATTTTCTATTGGGAGCCAGCTACTTCACCATCTCTCACATGCCTCCTTCAAAACTCATTCCCTGTTGCTAGCAAGTTTTAGCTCATTCACCACCTAATTTCTAAATGAATGCCATCTGAGTTTTGGAAAGTTATGATTATATTACATCGGTGAACATTGTTAATGTTTATCGAATATTTTTATTGATCTGACTGATTTCAAAATATATACTTTCAGTCTTTGTGGCTTTAAGGCAAAACTAGCGAAGGGGTTGATTTTGAATGGGGGGCCATAACTGAGGCTAGTGATTTTGGGAAATGCTATATGTATATTTTGGTCAAAAGTGAGATACTAGTTGCTCGTTACTTACATTGGCTACTTCGCATCACTGAGCAGGTGGTCCACCCGAACTTTTCTCATTGGAAAATTAATTAGTCCCTATAGTTTACATGCATGTCCAAGTAAGTCCTATGCTGTTAAATTTGTGAGCAAAGAACCCAGAAAAATAATTCTCTCAATTACACGACTCCTTAAAAGTTAGGTAACAGCAGACTTGCTACTCAATACTTAGGAACAAGGGAAAATGTCAGACGTATAAAGCAATCTAAATGAGAAAATATCATGCCTACAAATCAGGGATAAAACATATAATCACAAATTGCCAACAAATATTTAGATAAAACTAGACTAAGTGGGGACAAATTTTGCCAATGCTCTCCTTTAAATTGGAGAATAGATGTTCAGCATCCCTAGCTTGCAACTTAGTTCTCCAAACCTTTTTCTTGAGAGTTCTTTCAAAAGAAAATCTGGAACTTGCATGTTGATGGATATTTGTGATTGGTCTGTTATAGCTGATTCTATTTTCTCCTTTTTAAATTGACAGTCTATCAGAACATGTACGGTCTTATCATGTTTTATAGGACATTTGGCAATGCCAATAGTGGCTGTGTTGGTACACCAAACTTTCATGGGGGATTGGACTCCAATCTTCCATTCAACTAGTAAAGCTATGCCGTGATATTCAGCTTTTGCATTGCTACTTGCTACTACTAGGGTTTTACTCCTCCAAATGATAAGGTTCCCCTTTGTGCAGTACCCATTTGTTGACCTACTGTTGGTGATTGAACTTACCTAATTTTCACCGGTGTTAACCTCAGCTCCTACTGGTCTTTCTTTCTTGAAGAATAAACCTTTTTTCCAGTTGCGTTTTATGGGTACCTGAGAATTTGAATGTTTCTTCCATACACTCCTTGGTCTAGCTACTTCCATTCCAAGGAAATATCTCAAGCTTTCCCAATTCATTGAATCAAATTCTGCAGCCAAAGATCTTCTTAAATGACTTATTCGCTCAAGATCATCTACTAGAATGACCATATCATTCACATATACAATTAAGACTGATAACTTGCTACTATGTGTGTACCTTATAAACAAATTGTGGGAATATTGTGCATTAATTGTAAATATCAGTTAGTATAGTCTTTATTGGAATTTATTAGTATTTACGGGACTTTGAGGTTTTATCCCCCCTTGATGTATATATATTTTTTCTCGTAACTCACTATCACAAGAAATAAGAAAAAAACACATTTCTTCTCTCAATTATTCCACACAAAGTTGGTCCATTTGACACTGGATATAGTTGCTTTGCTACTCTGTTTAATACCATAGATATATTTGTGCAGCCTCTATTTATACTTCTTTGCTACCCTAGTGAACATCTCCATGTATACTTCTTTCTCCAAGCCTTTATTTAGGAATTCGTTTTTGGTATTTAGATGATGTAGTGGCCAATCTAAATTTGCTGCTAATGAGAGGATTTTGATGATGTTGAACTTTGCAAATAGAGCAAAAGTCCCTTGGTAGGCCAAGCACAGGTTGTGAATAACACCCTTTATTATTGCATCTTACATCACATAAGTCCTGCTCACAGGCCATGAAAGGATATAAATCGACCAAGTTGTGAAATTTTATGATTATTGCAGGCTTAAATAATTTGCAAACCATAAATACTGCTCTTGGATGACCCCTCAAAACTTAACAGTGGAAATTGCTTGGAATTGTACAAAACCGAATAGTGAGCATATTTATTAACGTACTAAATACATGATAAAATTCATTGTATCTCAAAGGAATTGGTCAAGTTAGAAAAATGAGATTTTATCCCATCGGACAAAGTTGATTAGAATAATATTTCTTTTGACTCATCAATGTACACTTTTGTAGGTATCAACCCAACTAAATCGGCTGTATTTGAAGTTTCTCAAACGCAATCCAGGATATGAGGGAAAGGTGCTTGTCAAAAACATTGGATCATTGGCTGAATTTTGTGAATTTTAATTTTCTACTTTTATGATCGCCTGTTTTTGCTGCATGTTGTGTAGGTTTCAATATATGCTCATTCTCTGGGAAGTGTGCTTTCCTATGATATTCTTTGCCATCAAGAAAATCTGTCCTCTCCGTGTCCAATTGATTCAATGTATAAGGAACATTATGAGCATGAAAATCCTCTTCTCACTGTGAAGGATCATCGTTCTGGGAGCTACTCATCAAGTCTTCAGAATGATATGATGAGCATAGCAAGTCTGTCTGATGAAAAAATGACTGCCAATCAGACCCCTTTAGAAATGGAGGCACAATATTCTGGGGACTCCTCGCTTTTATGTCCTACTTTACCAATTGTACACAAATATGCTATGGAACATGACACTCAGAAACCAGAGCATGAGAGTGATGTTCATGATTTCCTTGCTGATTTGGGTAATGCACCTCATGAGAAAACTGAAGCATTATTGAAGACCGAGAATATGAAGGCCAGGATTCCTGCTGATGGTTTGGAGAGATTGAATGAAGAGGAACATGAGAATATAAGCAACAAGGATGAAGTAATCAGAATGCTCAGGGAAGAGGTGAAGTAACAATTTCTACTATTTTTCTTAGTAATCTAAATAACCATGAACTTGTTATATATATATATATATATATATATATAAAAATTGCTGATAATTGATAGTTTCCGTCATTTAGGTTAATTCATTGAAAACCAAGCTTGTGGAACTTGAATCACATGGTAGCAGCCAGCATTCAAAAGAAGACCTAGGTTCTGGTAGCTACTAGTGTTCTCTATAAATTTGAATATATATGGTGAATGATTTATACGGTCATCTGACTTCTAATTTTTGATTGTATGACAAAGACCAAAAAATAAAACGTTGCATGTGTATGCCAGGGAAACACTCATATGAGAAGTTGCCTTCAGCAGAAGATGCACCAAAGAGTTACACCCCTTATATCAAATACACAAAGCTCCAATTCAAGGTATAAGGAGAAAAAATTGTTATCTGGTGTGTACAGATCTTTAAAGATTTACATTTTGCTTGTAGTTTTTTAAAAATCTAATTTGTCGCAAAATATGGACCATTTTTAAAAAAAATTATGCTGTAATCATTTCCTGTCTTGCTCGTACGATTGAAATGCTTATATTGCAGGTTGATACATTCTTTGCTGTTGGTTCCCCTCTTGGAGTGTTTCTTGCCCTTCGTAATATCCGTATTGGCATTGGTAGTAATTTCTAAGTGACTTGTTAATGTTCCTTTCATTTTTCAATTATTGCACATCGTATGCTTTTAGAAGCCAGAATTTATATGTTCAGATGTAGTTTTCCACATTTTGGCACTCCGCGTTTATATTTTCCCTGAGGACCTTGCCAGTAATGTGCAATTCCTGTACTATCATGGCTTTTAAAATTTTAAACGGTGGGCTATAAAGTATGTTAAGCTTAAAGAGATTATGTTGGAGGATGTTAAGGGGAATAATTGATCAATTATGAAATATCTGCAAGTTCCTAAACTCATATTTCAAGGAATGATATTGGCTCACATAACTCGAGGCTCAACGAGCAAGTATAATCCTATCCCTGAAGTCTTTATTCAAATCCTCCGTTATACACAAATTCTCAGTTATATATCTGAAATTGCCCCTGTTGTCCCAAATTTTTAAATTATAATAACTTCACAATAATTAAAAAAAAATAGTCTTGTTATACTTCATTAGATTCATAGTGAATGGATTTTATCCTTTTGGGTGATTTTGTAGAATTTAAGAGGTATAACTAGAATCAGCTTTGTCCATGTTTGCTTCCAAAATTTACTTGTTTTATTTCCAAAAGGCATGTTTTTGAATTTAAGTATTTTATGTTCTTTTCCACTTATTCCAGGAAGAGGCCAAGAATATTGGGGGGAGGAGAATATAATTGAACAGATGCCAGCATGCCGCCAGATGTTCAACATTTTTCACCCCTATGATCCAGTGGCTTACAGGTATGTCAAAATTATCACCACGATGCACTCCCTCTTTTGTTTAA